GTGTGTGTCCGTGTCTGTGTATATCTCTGTGTGTGTCTCTGTGTGTGTCTGAATCTCTGTGTGTGTCTCTGTGTCTGTGTATCTCTGTGCGTCTGTGTCTGTCTGTCTGTGTGTGTCAGTGAATGAGAAGAGAGAGAAACTGATTCTGAGTGATGAAAGGGTTGGGCCCACCCAGACCAGGATCCTATTACAGTTGAAGATGCAGAACCAAGTCTAAACACTGTTTTTGACACTAAATCCAGTGCCTCTTCCTCTCTATCCCATTGTCAGGCATGGCTTCTTAATTTTTCAGAAATCATCCCAAATTACGCCCCAACTCAACGTTTCCAAATTTGTCCCAATTAACAGAAGACCAGGAGGCTGGACGAGCTGAGCGGTCCGCCAGCCAGTAGATGGCGCAAAAGCGTTGTTGCCCGGGTTAGTGGCGGCGAAGGGGGCGCATAGAGTGCGGAAACAAGGGAATGCAAACCTTCTTTTGATTGGTCCAAGGGCCTCGGCCGACTATCCAATCAAAAGTGTCAGTGTCATCACGTTACTGGGCTGAAGCGGTAGCCCGCGGAAATTTGAAATGGCGAGCGGCTTGGTGATGGGTGGTGGTCTGGAGCCGGAGGCGATGGCGCCAGCGCCAGAGGGTACGGGCTGGACGGCTGAGGAGGAACCGGCCGGCCTGGAGAAAGGTGAGCACCCGCCTTGCCCGGCCTGCGGAGCTGCCTGCTAGCGGCGGCCGGGGCATGGGGACCCGCTGACCCGCCGCCCAGGGTGGGGTGACGGCTGTGAGAGGCCGGGCCGCTCTCAGGACGTCACGTCGGGGGTCCCAGGCTGCAGCCCCAGGCTCGCCGTCTCCTGCCTCAGCTTCCCTCGAGACTGGAGGGAGCGCCACTGAGCCAGGAGGTCCCAGCCCCTCACGCCTGGGTGGGCTCAGGGGCCCCTGTGCGCATTCATCTGTGCGAACAGGCTCTTCGCTTTCCTCTGCCCGTCAGAGGAGATGGGAGGCACGCTTCTCTCCCCAAAAGGAGGAGGCTTGAACCCTTGGCCTAGCTGTCTTTCCTCAACACTGAGGGCAATTAATATTCCCAGCGTTTGGGGAGCCAGGTTTCCTAATTCCCAGTCCTTTCTACCTCTCTATGCAGACGTCACTTTTTTTCCTGACATTTTGTCTTAGTCATCTAGTGCTGCTATAACAGAAATATCACAAGTGGGTGGCTTTAACAAACAAATTTATTTTCTCACAGCCTAGGAGGCTGGAAGTCCGAATTCAGGGTGCCGGTTTTAGGGGAAGGCTTTTTCTCTCTGTCGGCTCTGGAGGAAAGTCCCCTTCTCTTCAGCGTCTACTTCCTGGTTCCTTGGAGATGTCCTTGTGTCTTGGCATCTATTTTACCCCGTCTCTGCTTCGCTCGCTTGCTTGTTTAGCCTCCTTTATATTTCAACAGAGGTTGATTTAAGACCAGTCCTGTCCCATTAACATAACAAAGACAACCCATTCCCAAAGGGGGTTGTAACCACAGGCAGAGAGGTTAGGATTTACGACCCATTTTGAGGGGACACAGTTCAATCCAGAAACCTTTTTAAGCTGTTTCTTGTTTTTCCTCTAGCATTTTAAGTTGTATCGGGTAGTGGAAAGAGTCCTGGCAAGGTAAGAAAGCTAAGTGCGACTTAATTCCACCACTAACTAACCTTGTCAGCTGGCAGAAGTCACTTGGCTTCAGTTTTCCTATCTGGAAATCAGAGACAGTGGTCCTCCAGAATTTGAAGATGAAATGAAATAATGTGTGAAAAGTAATTACTTTCAAAATGGCCGTAAGGAATTCCGCTGATGTAAAACTTATTTATTTAACATATGTTTATATGTACTAAGAAAGTTGTTAGTTGCTGTGAAGTCGATTCCGACTAATGGCAGCCCCGTGTGTTACAGAGTGGAACAGCCCCGTAGGGTTTTCTTGGTTTTGATCTTAAGGGAAGCAGATTATTGTTGTCGTGTGCTGTTGAGTTGATTACAACTCACAGCGATCCTGTAGGACAGAGTAGAACTGCCCCATAGGGTTTCCAAGGGTGTGATCCTTACAGAAGCAGACTGCCACGTCTTTCTCCCCTGGAGCAGCTGGTGGGTTTGAACCGCCAGCCTTTTGGTTAGCAGCCTAGTTCTTAACCACTGTGCCACCAGGGAAGCAGACAGCCAGGCTTTTTCTTCCATGAGCCGCTGTAGGTTCCAACTGCCAACCTTTAAGTTATCAGTCGAGTACAGACCATTTGCACCACCTTGGAACTTCTCCAGGAACGGGGACTGTCACTTCATTCTCTCAGTTTAACCCAAGCGGGCAGCAATTCTTCTCTGTCCTACAGGGTTGCTGTGAGTCGGAATCGACTCGACGCTGACGGTTTTGCATAGCCAAGGAAACTGAGGCAGTCACATTGGTATTGATGGGGTATTGACGCTCTCTAAGGCTTCTGTGTATCAGCATTTGTCCGTGAGCTGTAGACCCTGGAGTTCACTTGGATCATCTGTGAGGTCAAGTAATTCTGGTGGCCTGAACAGAAAATAAAAGAGGGGTGTGTGCATGAGTGAGTGTGCGTGTGTGAGTGTGTGCATGTGCGTGCGTGCATGACAGACTGCTGTTCCTGACAGTCTCAGAGACTCTCCCTGAAACCACCACCGGGAGCTGCTTTGCTTCTCTAAATGCCACCCTCGGCGTTTGTTCAGTGGTCATTACGTCTGTTAAAAACGTACAGAATTGGCTGTGCCGCTGGCTGAATCACGCCTTATGAAACATCATTCCATACAATCCAGACCTAATGTGATTAGCATTTTCTAATCTCTTCCTTAGACACAGTCACTGAGTTAGCGAGGAGGAACCTAGTAGCCTCCGTGAAGTAAACCTCATGCATTATTAAGACTCTCTCATCTCTGTTTATGGAGGGGCCACTGACAGGCTGATACTGCAGAAAATAAAGGCAGGCTTCAGCTCATGTGAGAGGGATTATAGAAAATGAGCTATATCCCTATTTTTTAATGTGGTTTTCTAGAATTGTTTTAGAAAAAGCAAAGTGACTGCAAGATCCTTGACCATTATAAGCCGCTAAGTATAGTAAAGATCGTGTTGTAGTTAGCTGCCGTTGGGAATCGGGGTGGCCGTCCCCATGATCGGCGAGGATCAGACTGTTGTGATATATGTGGTTTTCATCAGCTGATTTTCTGCCGTAGGTCACCAGGCCTTTCTTCCTAGTTCATCTTAGTCTGAAAGCTCCTTTGAAACCTGTTCATTGTAGCAGCATGCAAGCCTTCGCTGACAGATGGGTGGTGGCTGTGTGTGAAGTGCATTGACTGGGAATCAAACCCCGGTCTCCTGCAAGGAAGATGAGAATTCTGCCATCTGAACCCCCACTGCCCCCTAGGAAAGATCATGTTGTTGTGTGCCAGCGAGTGGATTCTGACTCATAGTGACCCTACAGGACAGAGTAGAACTTCCCCGTAGGGTTTCCTAGGCTGTTGTCTTCACAGGAGCAGGTCGCCAGGTCTTTTCTGCTGCGGAGCTGCTGGTGGCTTCAAACCACAGACCATTGTGTTAGCAGCCAAGCTCAAACCATCACCAGGGCTCCTTAGTAAAGGTCGTAGCTGTATCCTTTTAAGGAGAACGTGGGTGGTTTCCACTGAATTAAAACATAGACAAAAGAACCCTTTCCTTTGCCTCTCCCCAGTCCTCACAGAACAGCAAAACCTAACCTGTGAAGGATCTTAAGCTCTTTTTGTTTTGAAGTAGAACTTGGATTTTGAGATGTTTTTAAGTTTGGAAAACTAGTTTTTTTTCTGCCAGTGATAAGGTAAGCAAAGCAGCCTACTCAAATCCCAGCTTGTATTTTGCTTGGAATTTCTAAGCAAGGAGGTGAACACGGACGTTCTCTATCACCACTGGCCATGTCTGGGCTAGCTGCGACTGCTTGCTTTTTGTTCTTTTAGGTTTGCTCCCAGATGAAGACTGCTGCAGTGATTGTAGCAGTTACGACAAGGCAGGTACTGGTTTACAGAGTTTTGTACCAGAAGGTAAAACGCTTTTCCCGGAAATTTTCCAAACGAGTCAACTTCTGTTCTACGAGCGATTCAGAGCCTATCAAGATTACATTTTAGGTGAGTGCTTCTCTTTTTGTTGCTGTATTTATTATTATCCTCTTTGTTTAAAGTAGATGTCTATTTCAGACTGCCAGTTGTTGGTACTGATGGAAGCAGGCTGGATGGATTTATTAACTTCTCTCTGCTCTACGCAGTTGCAATTCTTACTGTGTTTAATTTGTCTGTAGCTGACTGCAAGGCCTCCGAGGTAAGAGAATTCACAGCTGAGTTCTTGGAGAAGGTCCTGGAACCATCCGGATGGCGGGCAGTCTGGCACACCAACGTGTTCGAGGTGCTGGTTGAGGTAAATGGAATTCTGTTGTTCGGATGTTTGTCTCTAGCTAACAGCACTTCACTTCAGACTGTTAGAGCCAAAGTGCTTATTTTTAATTAAGGTTTCTGAGCTGATTGAAAACGGCCTGTTTTTCACATCTGATCGCCGCGGTGTGTAACGTTCTGCAGATCCTAAAAGCGGCTGAGGGGGAACGAGCAGGGAATTGAGGAGGCTGAGGTTTCAGCACCTGTGACAAGGAGAATGGATTGTAAACCTAGGAAGCGGAGGGGGTGACTGAGAGCATTTAAAAAATGGAGAGACCTAATTATGGAGTCAGCGGTGCTGCGATTAATTGTTTTACCTTCTTGGTTGTAGCGCGTTAAGTAGCTCAAACCAAACCGGCAGTTTGAAGCAGCCCGTTTGTTGCCTAACGCTTTCGTAGGCGTGTGGTTAATCTCTCGATAATACGTCCCACTGCAGAAAGTAAAAAAAATCTCATTTTTCAACTGGCTGGGCCTTTTACATTGAATTTGCACCCTGATTACAGCTGTGAATTTTCCGTAGTGTTGGTTAACTGGACCGCAGAAAACCTTGTTAAACTAAAACCTTAAACCGAGGAGTGTGGACACAAGTTGTTGCTGCAGCTCCTTTAGAGAATGACACCGCACGCTGCAGTGATCCTGTACCCGGCAGTGGGCTCAGCTGTTCCGTGGGAATTCTGAAGTTCTGGATTGTGCTGATATCTTTGATGTTCAGACCTATTAATTTGGTTATGACAGTGTGTCCCCTTTCCCTCTGTGATTTCTGTAAAGCAGAGTCATTGTTTTCAAAGAGAAATGTGCCTAAAACCCTTCATTCACTGCATTCACCAAGGGCCTAGTGTTGGCTTCAGGGCTTCTCATTGCAATAGAGAACGTGTAAGATCCACACTCTTGTGAGGCCTGCGCCTCCTGGGCTGCTTGTCTGTCTCCCGCCGCGTCTCCCGCTGCTCCCTCCCAGCCCTCCTCTTCCTGCTCCTCCACTGCCAAGCTTGTCTCCACCACAGGGCCTTTGCACCTTCTGTGGCTGTTCAGGTGGCTGTTCGCTTTTCATCCTTCTCATCTCAGCTCACAGGTGACTTCCTCTGACCATCCTAGCAAAACCAGGCACCTGCTAGCTATTCTCTGTCACATACTCGTCATCGTCTTGTTAACACTGTAAGCTCTGTGGGAGTAAGAGCCAGGCCCACCTTGTCTGTCCTTTGTATTGCGGAAGGAGGTTCCTTCTCGCATCCCGCCCCCACCCCCCATTCATGCTTCTTAAAAAGTCAGGCCCTTAAAACTAGTGTCTTATACGTCTCCTAGTTTTTTTCCCGTGTGTAAGTCAGGCCCCGTTGTTTGCAATCCCAGGTCACGGACGTGGACTTCTCGGGGTTGAAGGCAGTGGTGAGGCTCACCGAGCCGTACCTCTGTGAGTCTCGCCTGAGCTCGTTCACCCGGGAGTGCATGAGTGAGCTCCTGGAGCTGAAGGAGCACCGGCTACCCCTGCAGGAGCTGTGGGTGGTGTTCGATGATTCCGGAGTGTTTGACCAGACCGCCCTGGCCGTGGAGCACGTCAGGTAGGAGGAGAAGTGGACAAAAATAACCTGCTTCCAGAAACGCTGGGCGAAAGGCAGTCAGCCTGGTGTGTCTTAGGCCCAGATTTAAAACTCAATCCGTGAGCTTGATCAGTGCATCTTTGCCGTATTTTAAAATATTCAAAGATCGGGGAATCTCTTAAATTGAAATTTTTTATCTGTTTAAAATTTTCAGTTTGAAATAATTTCAGACTTATAAAACTTTGAAAAAATAGTACAAAGAATTCTGGATATCCTCTACCGGTTACCCCAAATGTTAACAAAATGTAGAGGATTTTTAATTTGGTTTATATATGTTTAGAAGCTGCCTTCAGAGTTCTGGGATCTAAGGCTTATGGGTGGCATATCTGAATACAAGAGGAGAGAGAGAGAAAGTGAAGAAGGTGGTCTATCATGATCTGTGCACTGATTAGACCAAGCCAAAACCAAACCCACTGCTCACGAGTCGATTCTGACTCACAGCGACCCTGTAGGACAAAGTAGAACTGCCCCATAGGGTTCCCAAGGCTGTCATCTTTATGGAAGCCACATCTTCCTGCCTTGGAGGGGCTGGTGGATTTGAACCACCGACCTTTCGGTTAGCGGCCGAGTGCTTTAAACTGATAAGACTGTTACATGTTATCTGGTCAAAGAAAGTGTCTTGTCAGGCCACTTTCAGGACAGCTGAGGGACGTGCTTGCGTCTTTCAACTTTCCTGGCATGGTTGGTTTCCACTCGCACAAGTGTGCCCCGGGCCCCTTAAGGGAGAAGGTGCGTACCTGGAGTAATAGGTGTGTTTTTCAGATATATATTTTATCAGATAATTTTGACTTTCTTGGATCTTCTGTATATAGTTACTAAAGAAGGCTTAATTTTAGCTGCTGAGAAGTGGACTTATATTCCTCCAGGAGATGGAAGGCTGGTAACATAATGATCGTAATGTTAATAACTGTGCTTAGTGGTTTGAAATTTAAAAAGTATTTGCTAGTTTCTCTATAATTAGTTAACCTGGTTCTACTGGGCTCAATCTGAATAACTTATAAAGAAGCAGAGTGTCTCAGGCCCGGCTTCTGACATCGCATGGAAAGTTTCTAATTGTATACAGAAATGTTTAACCCTAGATGTTCAGTATTAGGCCAAGCAGTATAAATCCAAACAACTGGTTTCTGCGCAGAACAAAGTAACTCCCTTATGTTTGGACCATTTTGTGTAAACTCCAGCAGTTAAAGCCCGGGAAGGTGCAGCAGTAATGGGCGATTTGGGGAAGTCAGGAATAAGGGAGTTAATCTCCCCTCCTGGCTGTAGAAGTGGTGGAAAGACAAGCATCTGGGATTGGTGGTGGTGTTACTGATAGATGTGCTGGGCCAGATGTCTTCTTCATTTTGAGGGCTCCGATTCTCGTCAGTGCCACGAGAAGGTCAAATTGTGAGGGTTTTCGTTTGTTTTTATTCAGTAAATACTTGAGCGCAGCTCCTGAGTTGAGGGTAGGGGCACCTGTTGCAGAAAACGGACAGTCCCACCCTCAGGGAGTGGTCAGGATGAACCGTAATCACACACAGATGTGTCTGTGATTGTAAACTGCAGTGAGCGCTGGGAAGAATTATAGGGACTAGGTAGAAACGAAAAAGCCAAACGAGTGGCCATTGAGTCGATTCTGACTCATGGCAACCCCGTGTGTGTCAGAATAGAACCGTGCCCCATAAGGTTTTCAATTGCTGATTTTTTTGGAAGTAACTGCCAGGGCTTTCTTCCAAGGCGCCTCTGGGTGGACTTGAACCCCTAACCTTTCAGTTAGCAGCTATGTTAACCATTGCACCACCCAGGGAGTCCAAGACTAGGCCAGGCCACTGTTATATAGTTAAGGGGTCAAGAAAGTTGCCCTGAGGAAATGACATTTGAGCTTGCGTCTCAAGGACTCGCTAGGTGAAAGGGCTTGTGTTGGGGTGAGTAGGGGGAGCTTGGTGAGCTTAAGGAACTGAAAGGCCAGTGTGGCTGGAGCACAGACAGAACTGGAGACGCGTGGGAATGAGCTTAGAATCTAAAGCAGGGGTGAAAAGGTAAAGGGGTTTGTAGGCCAGTTAATTGTTTTTGTCTCCAAGAGCAATGGGAAGCCACTGAAGGGCTTTCTTTCAAGGGTAAATATGAGGGCTTTGTGTTTTAAAGGCTGCTGTGTATAATGCCACTGAGTTGTGCGTGTAAAAATAGTTTGAATGTCTTGTTATGTTTATTTCACCACAGTGAAGAAAAGGCTGCTGTGTAGAGAAGAAATGGAGGGAGTAGACTAGGGAGAGCAGTTAAAAGGCACACGGGGACTAGCGTGGAATGTGGAGGGATGGAGGTAGACTAGGGAGAGCAGGTAAAAGACATGCGGGGAATAGTGGGGGACGTGGAGGGATGGAGGTAGACTAGGGAGAGCAGTTAAAAGGCACGCGGGGACTAGCATGGGATGTGAAGGGAAGGAGTTAGACTAGGGAGACCAGTTAGAAGGCATGCAGGGACTAGTGTGGGACGTGGAGGGATGGAGGTAGACTAGGGAGACCAGTCAGAAGGCACACGGGGACTAGTGTGGGACATGGAGGGATGGAGTAGACTAGGGAGACAGTCAGAAGGCACACGGGGACTAGCGTGGGATGTAGAGTAGACCATTGAGACTTGTTGAGCGAGTGGAATGTCCAGGACGTGGTGGCGGAGTGGCTCTAGGGGATGAGGTGAGGGAGATTGAAGGTTGACACCCAGGTTTCTGGCCTGAGAGGATAAACCCTGGAAAGGTGCAGAGGTGACTGATCTGAGTGCCTGGTCCGTCCTGGTGAAGTGATGTTAGCTATTACGCGGTGGAGAAGGCAGGGGGCACTGCGGCAGCTGACCAGCATGTTACGAGCGTTTGGAGCTTTGGAGGAGCTTGATGTGTCTGTGACTTTGGAGTCTCTTTGGGGCCAGGGTGGGTACAGGACATGAGTGCATACTGCACGGAGGAGCTCTGAGGGGGCGGGGGGCGGTGGTGGTAGTGGTTTCGAGCCGTGTTAGGAATCCACGCGATATCTGGACTTGGGATTTTGTTCTCAGGACCATCCGGAGCCAGCAGGAGCTCCTTACTGAGTAGAGGCCTGCTTGGCTTCATTTTTTCCTCAAGGATGGGCTCTAGAGGGTGAAGAGACTGGTAGGCCAGCCAGTCTGCAAGGATTAAGAGATGATTTTCATTCCACTGCACCTTCCTTTCATAGCAGAACTTCTTGAAAGAGATACGTGGTCACAGCCTGTGCTTCCTTGCCTCCCACTAAGGCTTCTACCCCTACCTCGCCACTGATACCGTGTTTATCCAGGTCCCTAGACACGCCGTCTGCTTGTATCCAATCTTGTCTGGTCTCATCTTGCTCGACCTCTCAGCCACATTCTTGGTGTTTGATCACTCCCATCTTTCATTTTTTTAAGCAGCTTTATTTACGGTATTCACATAACACACGGTTCACCCATTTAAGTGTGCAATACATTGGTTTTTAGTATATTCACAGATATGTGCAAACATCACCACAGTCAATTTAAAAACCTTTTTTATCTCCTCAGAAAGAAACCCCATGCTCTTTAGCTATCACCCCCTGTACCCTCCACGTCCCCCCAGCCCTAAGCAACTGCTTTCTGTCTCTATAACCATTTGCCACTAAGCTGACTCTGACTCATGGCAACCCCATGTATGTCAGGGTAGAACTGTGCTCCACAGAGTTTTCAGTGGCTGATTTTGGGGAAGTAATTGCCAGGCCTTTCTTTCGAGGTACCTCTGGGTGAACTTGAACCTCAAGTGTGGTTGGTTAACAGCCGAGTGTGTTAACCATTTGCACCACCCAGGGGCTCCTTATGTCTCTATAGATTAACCTGTTCTGGACATTTCGTATAAATGGAATCATGTACTATGTGGTTTTGTGACTGGTTCTTTTCACTCAGCATATTTTTTGTCAACATTCAGCCACATTGTAGTATGCATCAGTATTTCATTCCTTTTTAAGGCTGAATAATATTCCATTGTATGTATATACTACAATTTGTTTACTCATTCATCCGTTGATGGACATTTGGGTTAGTTCCACCTTTTGGCTATTGTAAATTGTGCTGCTATGAACATCTGTGTACAAGTATTTGTTTGAGTCTCTGATCTCAAGTCTTCGGGGCACGTAGCTAGGAGTGGAATTGCTGAGTCACTCCCATCTTCCTAGCACCCTCTCCTCCCAGCTTCTGGGACAGGCATTCTTCTGGCCTCTCTCGGCTTTCCTTCTCCGTTTCCTTGGTCGGTGTGTCCTCTCGTGCTCACACTGTAGAATGTTGGAGTTAATTCGGACTCAGTCCTCGGCCATCTCCTTTTCTCTCTCTGTAAGCTGCGAAGCGTGTTAGAATCGCCTGAGTACTTACTTTACACAAGTATTCCAACTAACACGTGAAAAGGAACGGTAGACTCAATATCGCTATTCTGCAGCCACTAATAAAATAAAGCCTGCAGGCAGGAATCACTAGTGGCTGCTAGAACCCCTGGGTGAGAAACGGATGGGGGGCGGTGCCGTGGAGGGATCACATGACAGCACCTGAGCTCGCTGATCAGCCTCAGCCTCAGAACAAGAGACGCTATCGGGTGCATCCTGATGGGAGTACATTATACCTCCCGGGAAGTATTGTTGCCAAAAATCTTGCCTGCAGCTGGTCAAGTCTCTAGGTCTTACTACCAGTTTACTATCTATAAAAGCAATAGATGAACATGGGAAGTAACACCGTGGTGACACAATCAATAAACTTCGTAGTGTTGGAAACTATTCAATTTCAAGGAGAAATAGAGGGAAGAGTAATCTATAGAATGGACCGTGGACTGCCAGAAGAATGAGCAAGTCTGTCTCGGAAGAAGTACAGCCAGAGTGCTCCTTGGAAGCAAGGATGGCAAGACTACGTCTCCCATACTTTGGACATGTTATCAGGAGGCATCAGTCCCTGCAGAAAGACATTGATGATGAGTAAAATAGAGGCTC